AAAGAGGAGCCACTCAAATTGCCATTTTATCAGCATATTCTGGGAACCAAACCGAGAGTGAGCGTTCCCATCTTGATACTGTTCATATGCTCTCTCTTCACGCCGGGGCCTGGGAAACACAAGCCTATTTATTTTAATAAAACTGCTTTATGACTTGTTTGCCCCCGAAATTCCCTTTGTTCTTCGGGGAAGGCTGCTGACAGGCGGGGAGGCTTTGCGTTAGCCCCAGTGCCGGGACTGTAATTAACTGCCAAGGAGGGGAGACAGGGAGGCAGCCTGCAGAGGGGAGGATAAGGCAGTGCCTTTATTCAGGAGGCCGGCTTCCCGTCTCTTGTCAGAGAGCAAGGGGAGATTATGCTGACCTTCTCGACTTAGACCCCAGTGCCAGGTCCTGGGTAAACAGGCAGCTCTGTCCAGGCTCAGGTTACCCCTTTTAAAAGACTTGAATGTGTAGGAAATTGGCAGCGGCGGGGCCCTCAGGGCCTCTGCCTCTCTGAAATCTCCTGAGTTTGTTCTCTGTGAGTCAGTGGCTGTCTACGGTTACCAGTCTCCAGGCCCATGCACCTCCTCCTATGAATGTTGCTCGTCATCCTGTCCTGATTACAATGAAAGGAGTCTGCTCTCTTGAAATGTGACGTTGCCCCCGGGAAAGTTAAAGCCAGTGGAATGTTCACAGGCTGTCAGAAGAGGAGTGTTTGTCAACATGAAGGCGGAGAACCGCCTGCGTGGGGATTATCTGCACTGTTTGTTAGAATTGGAAATCGTGGTCCTCCCTCCACCTATTTCATCAGAATCCTTCCAATGTGGGCCCCGGGACTTCAATTTTTAATAAGTTCCCCCAGGTTATTCTAAGGCACAGTGATGCTTGGGAGACACAGAGATGGAGAAGTTGATTCAGTCATGTAAATTACAGAAGGAGACACTGAGACACTTAAACTTGTCCCTGAAGAGAGATAAAGGAAATGCCTTGGTCTTCTGACTTGCAAACCATTTTTTTTTTTAAAGAAAACAACAACATCATGTTCTTTGTCCCTTCATGGGAACTAAAATATTTCCTTCACAAATTTTACATTGGAGTTTGTTTATCCCAGGTTAAGGTTTTGCCGAGACAGGAGGCAAAGGGCTTTGGGTGACCTAATATTTATTATGGCTGGCACCAGGAGAAATAGATTTGGAGGAAAATAATAATTAACATTTCATAGTAATGTCAAGGAAGAGGAGAGATAAAACAGAGTGAGGGTGTTTGTTGGTTTGTGATCTACAGTTTGATCAGGAACAGTTTCTGCCAAGCAAAGAATTATCTAGAGAAGGCATGGTGGTGCGGACACGGTTGCGCCCAGTTCGCAGGAAGCGGACCTGCCTCAATCCATGTTGAAAATTTCAAAATGCTCTCCTACCCATGACCCTGTGATATCCACACAGCTCTGGTGAGGTGAGTGTTAGCAAATCCATTTATGAGATGCAGAGAATTAAAGAGACATTCCTAAGTCCAGTTAGTGATCGATTCAGTGTAGACCATATTAGAGAGAATATTACTATTACCATTTTTTGAGAGTGTACTATGTGCCTGGCAGCTCTCTGAGACATGAACTTTCCCATTTAATCCTCATAATCACTTTATGTACTTGTCTAACTTAAACCCCATCACAGCTCAAATCACCCTTCATTCATTCCTCAACTCATTAAAAAACAGATGTTGAGCTTTTCCGTTCTGGACATTTATTTGGGCTCTAGGGATACAGAGGTAAATTAAGTCTCTGATTTCATAGAGATCGCACTTGACTCAGGAAAGATAAGCATGAAACAAGAACATAAATAAATATATAATTTTGTATGAAACAAGTCAGGAATAGCCAGGCTATGGGGGAGTAACTGGGCATTTATTTAAACAATAACTTTCTGTGAAATGAATCAAGAATAGCCAGACTCTGGGGAGTAACTGGGCATGTTCTATGTTGGAGACTGTGGTCAGATGCAGCTGACACCTGAGGGTGGTGAGGATGGAGCCTGGAGCTGTCTGGGGGAGGAACAAGAACAAAGGCCCTCAATGTGATGGTATCTCTCCTGATTCTTCCAAGAGGCTGGAGCAGAGGGATCAAGGGGAGGGATATGGAAACTGAGTCAGAGGGAGCGACAGGAAATACCCTGTGGTTGGTAGGAAACACTTTGATTCTGAGAGGCAGAGGCAGCCATTGAAGGGTTCTGAGTGACAAGGTGTGGTACATTTTAGAAAGATTGCTCTAAATCCCACAGGGGGAATACCCTATAGAGGGCAAGCGGGGGGACTTGCCCAAGTCAACAACTATTAAGTGTCGAGGGGAGGTAGGGGTGCTTGGGGTCATTGTCTCCGTGTTTATTATCTGCTTTCCTGAACCAGGCAGAGATCGGTCTCATGACCATGTTACTGTCACCTTCTGTGTATCCCTTGCTCAATTCCCTCCTGTCACACACAAGAAACCCTCCATGTGTACAGAAAGGCAACTGGCAGAAAGGAGCCCACGGAGGGGGGCCAGTAGGCAAGAGCTGGGCCAGAGCCTCACTCACCTTGGACTTCTCTTGGTGCAGCTCTATCTGGATGTCTGTGAGCTTGGTCCTGAGGTCTTCATTGGCAGCTTGAAGGGCGACGATGAGCGCCTCGGGCTTCTCGCCCTTATTTCGCCCTTTCTTGGACATTGTTCCTTTCTAAATGGAGTCTGTTGGTTTTTAAGTCCTTTCACACGGGTGCTGCCATGTTCCCGTTTCTTATCCCGGAGTGCGGTGTTTCAGCATCTACTGCGTGGTGGTCCTTGGTAAGGTCTCCTTAGCCACTGCCCTGGAAGCCCTGGGAAGAGACAGCCGTTACTGCTGTGGCAGAGACCTGGGCGGGTGCCTGACAGTCACTCTCAGCCTGAGCTGCCTCTAGGAGTCTCCTCGGGAGGGTTCTTGTCTCCACTACCTCCTGTTCACGCCGCACATGAATTTCCAGCGATCTTTCCAAAGGGCCAATCTGATCACGTCAGTGCTCTGCTTAAAATCCTTCAAAGACCCGTGAATGTATCTTTCACGTCTCAGAGTGCTCTTTATGTCTAACCCTACCCATTCTCCTCGCCTTTCTGCCTCCGTTTCGCTCACTTATATTCTAACCATAAGGAATGTCTTTTAATTTGCTGATTCTTGCTCCCTTCCCATAGGACTTTTCCTATTCTATTTTCTCTTCTCCAGCCTCTGCCCAGCCTCCTCACATGGTCCTCCCTTATGTCCTCCTCCTCACACCCTGCCACACACACAGTGTAGTTTGAGTGGCGTTTAGGACTCTTTCAGGTCTCAGCTTCCACATCAGTTCCTCCTGGAAACACCCCCTAGGTTATTACGTGCCCTTCTTGTTTAATTGTGGTCACCACCATAAAACTGTAAACTTGGTGAGGACAGAAATGTGTTGCTCTTACTTACTACTTGCTTCTCAGTATCCATCATAAGTCCTGGTACATACCAGGTATTTAATTAGTATTTGTAAAAGGAAGTCACCTATGTGAAGACCTCATGATCACTCCATAAAGAGCCCCAACTTTAAGACATTTCTATAAAGACCTAAAATTATACAATAAATCAATAAACTGTGAGAAGTGAGGATTAATTATACTGGGTTAATTGGGTCACTCACATTCATTCAGTCAATATTGTTAGAGTTCCTTCTATATGCTATGCTAGGCACAACATGTTGAAATTGAAAACAAGAGTTTCAAGGCAAAAAAACAACAACTCAACAAAACCTCTATATTATCTATTTATCTATCCATCTATATCATCATCATCATCATCATCATCATCATCATCATCATCATTATCTATTTGACAACTGCCTTTAAAATATAAACAGTTGTCTCAGGGTATATAAGATTTATTCTTGGAATGGAATAAGGAAGGCTCCCTGAAAAAGGCTGCACTGGCCTGGAACTGGAGGAGCGAGTAGGATGTTAACAGATGGAGAAACAGGTGAAGCATCCTGGATGAAAGAAATGGCAGGTGCTGAGCTACAGCAAATAGAAAGCTCAGTAACTATTTTGTGGTTAAAATGGGGGCTTAATTCATTACAACCTAAGATATGATTTGTGGGTACTAATGTTGAAAACATTGCCTGGAAATTTCCAATTGTGGGAGACCTGGGATGCCAACCTTAGAATTTTGGAATCATTTTTTTTTTCAATAAGCAATGGGACTCTGTTGAAGTTCTGGGCAGGTGGATGGCATAACAGAGCAGTGCTTTGGTGTGGTTATTCTAGTGGCAGAGTGGGCAGAGAATGGAGGGAAGGGAGCCTGCCTATTGAACTTGCTAAGGTGGAGGATAATGAAGGCTTAATCAGAACAGCAGCAAAAGGAGAGAAATAAAGAGGGATGGTCTTGCTTTACAAATTCTTAAATGTTTCACAGGAACAAAGCAGGTTAGAAAAATATCAATACTAACCTATCAAAGTCAATGGAGCCCTAGCCGGCTTGGCTCAGTGGATAGAGCGTCAGCCTGCAGACTGAAGGGTCCCAGGTTCCATTCTGGCCAAGAGCACATGCCTGGGTTGCAGGCTCGATCCCCAGTAGGGAGCGTGCAGGAGGCAGTCGATCAATGATTCTCTCTCATCATTGATGTTTCTCTCTCTTCCTTCTCCCTTCCTATCTGAAATCAATAAAGAAATATATTTTTTTTAAAAATTCAATGGAAAAAACATGACAAGATAAAGGGGGAAAGTTCCCCATGCAGCCTTACAGAAAATTGAGTATTGCGCACATAATGGAAAAAACATGACAAGATACAAGAGAAAGTTCCCCGTGCAGCCTTACAGAAAATTGAGTATTGCGCACATAGATGTGCTTCAGCCCAGGACTAAGGGGAATTCCTACTGATCGCACATATGTTCCGGCAGCTGCTTCTCTCTCAGGACCCCTGGTATTCAGCCTTGAGGACCATGCTGGGATCCTGGGCTTTCTGCCACCCACCCCGTGTGCACTGGGGCCTTGCCTTGTGGATGTGTCCCCGGAGAAAGGGGAGAGGGAAGAGTTAAGGGATAGGGAGAATACGCCTGTCGCCAGTAGTCATGGAACTGTCCACCAATATCCCCCCCTAAATTAGGTGCTGGAGTTGTCCTTTGTGCTTGTTTTGCAAGTGTTGCCAAATCATTAAAGTGCATGCCTGGGATACTTCTAAGAGGCATCATTCTTTGCTTTTAGAATTAAAATGAATTCAACAAACATTATTGAAATTGTGTATGACAAACTCCTCTAGACACAAAAATAAATAAGACAGCACTTAACTTCAAGCAGGTATCGAGTGAGAAAACCCACATGTCCATGTTTAACAGGTTTCTCTTTCTCTAGTTGGTCTCTAGATGCTATTGGTCCCCAAAGCTTCCTCAAAGTTATCTCCACTGTCCCCTATAAAGTCATGACTCTCAGTTTTATATCCATAGTCCTGACCATTCCCCAAACCCCAGACTCGCATATTCAACTGCTTACTTACCAAATCTACTTGAATATCTGACTGCATTACAAACCTAACCTAACTAATACAGATGTCTTTATTATCATTCAGAACCTTATCTTCTCCAGGTTTTCCAGTATCAACAAATGGCACCACCCCAGGCCCAGGCATTCCCGATTTAAGTTTAGAAATCATCATTTCTTCTATTCTCCCTCATTTATTCAGGCCACCAGGAAGTCCAGTTTATTTTCCCTATAAAATATGATTTACTTTGGTCAACTTCTCTCAAACCCCACACAGGGAAAAACATAGGTCACTTCAGAGCCTTGTCGTTAGTGTTCCTGAATCAAAAGTGGTCTCTTCTGTTTGAGACAGAGGAGGGATGGAGGAGGACAGAGCTTGAGGAAAACTTGGAGTCACGAATGTGCCTATTTGGAGAAGGTTGTGAACTGGGAGAAGACAGGCAGAGGTTAGATTGCACAGGTTCCTGTATGACCCATCATTAGACGTAATTGATGATAACGGAATTTTATTATGTAGACATGAAGAAACATCGCAGCATTTGAATATATGTGTAACAATAAAAGCTTATGGTGACTGAGTGCTACGAACCTGCCACTAGACTAAGCATACTACTTTCATTTGATGCTCACTAAAAAATGTGGAGAAATGATTGGCAGAAAGATTAAGTAAGTTGCCTAAGATGACTGAGTTGCTATGGGGTGAGGCCCAGATTCAAATCCAGGCAGCCTAAGAGAGGCTGGGACCCAAGCTAACATCCCCTGCCTCGTACTTGCATTTTAGAAGGGAACCCTGGAACGTGGTGGAAGTGAAGGGAGAGAGAGAGAGTAGGGAGGCAGGATATCAGTAATAGTCCAGGCCAGAAGTAATGCAGCCCTGAACCGGGCCATGGCCACGGGGATGACCCGGAGGTGGCAACTCTACCACATGGAGATTTTGATGGAATCATGTCCTACTTTTACACATTATTATTGGTTTTAACCAGTGTCCTCTCCCAGTCTAAATGAGTACCAGCTCTCTGGTATTTCTTGCAGCAAAAATGTACAAGACAATTTTACATTTTATTTACAATTCTTTTCAAAAAAATATAATAGTATGTACTGACTTCATGTATTTTTTGGTCTGTGAATTAGTGTTAAATTAGTCCCATAAGGGCTGAGGAAAAGAAATTGGTTTAAAAATGAAAACATGTTCCGGAGAGAAAAAAGCATCCCAGACAGTTACTGGTAGCATCAACTTATGGATATCTCAAAGTGAGCAGCTGTTTGTGAGTGTGGTCCTACACACCCGCGGGGGGGAGAGGGGAGCTTTCTAAAGTCTCTTCCCGTTTTGATGGGTGCTCAGCAATCTTCTGATTCTCATATGTAATGTCGCTACAATGCTCTGTCAGCTTGGGCTGCCTTTATTTTTTGTTTTTGGACAGCTTTCACTTAAATCTCAATGATGTTACACTTTCAAAGTACATAATTCAGTGATTTTTTTGGATATTCACAAGGTTGTACAACTATCACTGCAATCAATTGTATAACTTTCCATCACCTCAGAAAGAAAGCCTATACCTGTTAGCTGTCATTCCTTATTCCCCATCAAACCCTCCCAGTCCTAGGCTTCCAGCCTATAAAGAGAGAAAACATCCTGGAAAGAAGAGAACGAGCGCATTGGTCAATGCTGTAGCCGAGAGTGCACCGAGAAAGAGGAAGACTTGATGGAGAAGGTAACATGTGAGCTGAGCCTGGAGATGCGGCTGGGTTCTTACTTAGTGCAGGAACAATGCAAGACATGTGAGCTGAGCCTGGAGATGCTGCCCACCTGGCTGGGTTCTTACTTAGTGCAGGAACAATGCAAAGTGCACTGAACTTTAGGAAGACTGACTTATTGAACAACTCTAATGAACTCTTTCAGATATTTACTCTTCTTTTAGACAGGGAAACTGAAGATCAGAGAGGTTGGCTAACTTGAAAAAACTTACACAGCTATAACATAGTAGAGCTGCAACTCAAATACGTCAGCTCTGAGCTTCTTGACTATGATAACTCTCTCTTGAGGGAAGGACAGGATTCAGCTCTGGTTGGGGGTAGGGTAATGAGATGGCAAAGCATGAAAACGCCAGCTGGGGGCCTACACAATGGTGGGATGTGGTGGTTAAGAGACTGCAATCTGAAATCGGAAAGACTGGCGTGGAATTAAACTTCCTAGCTTTATATTCTTGAGAAATTAAAATCTCTAAGCTCGTGTTTTTTTACTATAAAATGTGGAAAGGAATATGTTTACCTCATTGTGCTCTCATGAGGAATACATAAGTCAAAGTGTGTCCAATGATTAGTAAATTATTATTATCAATATCATAGTTATTA